TTTAGGTTAGAATTAATAATTTTGAGGTTAGGTTTTTGAAGGAAAAACATCAGATATATCATTAAGGGTCATAATAATCAATTTTATTAATAGCAGATACTTTTTAAACAATTTTTTCTACAACTGAACATCGAGTATTTAAAAAAATTTTTCTTCGACGTTGAGGTTGGTACGACACACCGAGGAGGCCGTGCACAGTGAATTAAAACAAAGTGAACGAAGAGAAAGTGATTTTCAGACACTGTGTTAGACCCGACCAGTGCATACACGGTGACATAAAAAACCCTAACCACTTCCACCGTCCTAATTGTAAGTGGAAAATAATTGGTGTAGCGCAACGACAACAAATAGATCGTGGAATCTCACTAAGAGCATTTGAACTCAGAACGATGGCGGAGGACCGTAAATTCCACCTGCCCTCAATGGTGACCGCAAGGCCATACGTCAAGGGGGAAAGGATAGGGATGTCAGGGAGGCCTCTAGCCCCCGAGCCAACGAACACGGTTTTCCTTGTCCCGTCATACGGGACAAGGAAAACCCATTGATGATGCTCCGGGAAGAAGCTGGCAGGCATCAACAGCCGGAATCCATCCATGAGGCAGACAATCCTGAAGCCAGCAGCCCAAATACACGACTGCGACAAAACCTATCAAATGCATAATTTTGGCTTTTTAGATTTTAGGTGTGCTTTTCGGCAATTTAAAGAAAACTGGACGGTAATCCGAGTTCTGGTAATTACAAAGTTCGTTACCTCAAAATCATTCCTACTCTTATTCGACTAACTCTCGTATATCTTAAAGTTTGAAAATATTAACCTACCTTTCAATCTACAACAGTTGCGTTAATGGACCCGATTCGCCAAAACGCCCGGTTAACGAAATTAAACTGCAGCTCGCGTTACAAATTACAGGGCGCACCGGCAGCGGTCACTCCGAAATAAATCGTCTTTCATCCGCCGCGCCGCGCTGTTAGTTTTGACGTGCCGATAATTTCAGGCCATACCGCACGATTTTTCCGACGCGGTATGCGCTGCTCATGTACCAATTAAACCCATCACAAGGACCACATAAATTACGCCGTGGACGTCGTCTGCTGGTCGGCTATCTCGTACTTCGGCGTCTTATCTCGACCGCGACGTGCGCTGTAGTGGGCTATTCGTCATGCGGGTGCGCTTATCTTGAAGTCATCTGGTTAGCATGCAAAAATACCAGACCGACGACACTGGGCGTAATGCAGGAGATAGACGTGGATGCAGACCATCGATACGATTTTCGTATGCAGAGTGGCTCTCAAGATTTAAATCAGATGACGTCTATACAATAACAAAAATGTTAAGCAAATTTTGAGTTGAGTTGAGTTGATAAACAAGTAAAAAAAATAAAAAAGTAAAAATATCTCTGATATGGTCACATTTTAAAACTTATAAAACACAGCATAATGATGCCTCTTATTAGTCGAGGAAATAAAGCACTGAACCTCCGAAATCTGTGCAGTAAGACGGATCGTGATGCGTTTTTTTTGCATTCGATTCGTTAGAGCATCCAGAAAGTTTGTGATCCTATGTGATCAATGAGAAATGAAAATTGCATGGATGGATAAGAAAAATGTATTTTTAAAATTGCATCTCGAAGAGTTAAAATATGAAAAATTTACAACTCGGAAAATATTGACGGAAATGAGTTCAATTTTGCTACTCGGGGGTTTTTGGGATCGCTGAACACGAATATCACGACGGTAACGGTCTCCGAGGTACCTAGTGCCCAGGGTGGCCGGTTTCCACGTCGTCTCCTGGAGTTTTGTGGAAATTCGTTATAAACTTAGCCGAAACTCGTTACCTGGGGGTTTTTGAGGCCATGGGACGTGTCTCCATTTACCCCTCGAAAGTGTCCATATTTACCCCAAAACAATTAATTTTTGGGGTAAATGTGGACACCTGTTTTAAACAAAACAATGTGTTTAATGGCTATTGCCACAAATAAGAAGTTTGCCATCGGCAAAATTGTTCCAACAGTGGTTGCATTCCCGCAACACTTGAAAAGAGTATACTTTCAAGTGCAAAACTGGCTATATGGAGACGAAAATGGTTTGAATCCGACAGACTGGGGATGGGAACTAAAAGAACAAACCTTACTTCCCATAAAAATGAGTCAATTACCTGGTCCACCAAGTATCATGAATATGATTTTTTGTGGATGCAAAACCGATTGCGGAACTTCGTGTGGATGTAGGAAGCACGGATTGAACTGCAGCATCGCGTGCAAAAATTGTTCAGGCATTAATTGCACAATAATGAAAAATATTCTGCAAATTACATATTAAAATTAAAAAAATAAATAAGAAAAATTAAAATTGTTGAGATATGTATTTAAGTATAATATTTTTTTGAAAACATGTATTTTTTGTAATGAATAAATGTATTTTTATAATAAAAAATAATTAAGAATAAAATAGTTGTCACATAATCCAGCCATCCTGGATACTAGGTACTTCGAGGACCGTTACCGTCGAAATATTCGTGTTGCGCGACCCTAAAAACCCCGAGGTAACGAGTTTCGGCTAAGTTTATAACGAATTTCCACAAAACTCCAGGAGACGGCGTGGAAACCGGCCACCCTAGAGCACTAGGTACCTCGGAGACCGTTGCCGCTGTGATATTCGTGTTGAGCGACCACAAAAACTCCGAGGTAACGCGTTTCGGCTAAGTTATAACGAATTTCCACAAAACTCCTGGAGACGACGTGGAAACCGGCCACCCTGGGGCACTAGGTACCTCGGAGACCGTTGTCGTCGTGATATTAGTGTGGACCTACCCCAAAAACCCCGAGGTAACGAGTTTCGGTTAAGTTTATAACGAATTTCCACAAAACTCCAGGAGACAACGTGGAAACTGGCCATCCTGGGCCACTAGGTACCTAGGAGACCGTTGCCGTCGTGATATTCGTGTTGAGCGACCTCAAAAACCCCGAGGTAAATCGGCCATCCTAGGGCACTAGGTACCTCGGAGACCGTTTCCGCCGTGATATTCGTCTTGAGCGACTCCAAAAACCCAGAGGTAACGAGTTTCGGCTAGGTTTATAACGAATTTCCACAAAACTCCAGGAGACGACATTGAAACCGGCGACCTTGGGGCACTAGATACCTCGGAGACCGTTGCCGTCATGATATTCGTGTTGAGAGACCTCAAAAACCCCGAGGTAACGAGTTTTGGCTAAGTTTATCACGAATTTCCACAAAACTTCAGGAGACGACGTGGAAACCGGCGACCCTGGGGCACTAGATACCTCGGAGACCGTTGCCGTCGTGATATTCGTGTTGAGCGACCCAAAAAACCCAGAGGTAACGAGTTTCGGCTAAGTTTATATCGAATTTCCACAAAACTCCAGGAGACGACGTGGAAACCGGCCACCCTGTAGACGAACGGTCCACCTCTAAAAAGATGTTTAGAAAATCAAGGTCACCGACCACGCGGAGAGGCCAGGATGAAACCTTTTGTAATCGATGCATTGAGTTATTGCGAACAAAAAACCTAAGTAACATCTTTCTGTCCGAGTGGCAGGTAATTTGTTATTAACAAAAAAGTTACAAAATAAAAATATTACAAAAAAACGCTCTGCAAATTGGGCAAAAATAAACATTTTTTGTCTCTTGACATTTTTTCG